AAAAAAAACAACAGCAAGAATTTAAAGTTATCTAAAAAATATTTTCTGAGTAATCAGTGGTATAATTTATAAAAAGAAAAATTTTGCTATAAATTTGTTTTCATCTATGATTAACGAAGGTAATAATAGCAGTAAATTAAAATTACAATTACTCATACCACATTTCCCAACGAATATTAAAAATGAGACATTATTTGCGATCAAATAAAAAGTTTTCGGTAAAATAGAATATAAGATTCTCTTTTTTGTTTTCAACAAAAAAATTAGTTTTTAACCAACCTACCCGTGTCTCTATTTGCAGCATCAAAAAAAAAAAAGTTGACTTCAAGCGACCACTATAAGCCAAGCATACAAATTTCAGCTGATCCATCGTTGGGTTTATAAACATGTCCAACCAGTACAAACCGTACGCCCATTCTAAGGAGGAAAAATTATGTAATTGCGTCATGTGCCAGAAAACTGTCAATTCGATCAACAGCCCCGAGCGCAGTCGCACAGATTGGGAGCCTCACCACTGCCCCGTGTGCTCGCAAATCTTCATCCGACAGGACGACCTGACGTTCCACATGGACAGCCACAGGCGCGGCAACAAGCCTTACAGTTGCCACGTGTGTCCGCAGGCGTTCAGTCTCAGCAGCCACCTAACCCGGCACATGCACACCCACAGGCGCAGCATGCCCTTCCGGTGCGACAAGTGTCTCGACTCTTTCGCCGATTTCAGCGATCTCGCGAGCCACAAGCGCACCCACTCGCACGAGAGACTCTATCGTTGCTCCGCGTGCTCCAAAAGTTTCGGCCGGTCCAACGATCTCACGATGCACATGGACACGTATCATAGGCGCAAGTGACACCTCAGCCAATAAACTATCACCACGCATGCCTCACAGGACTTCGCAGATATTGAAAACTAATTAAAAATGCTCGTGTGCTGTAAATCCATTTGCGTTGAAAATAAATTCTTCAGCGTTTGATTTCTACCACGGATCTTCAGAGAGTCTATAAAAAATTTATTAAAAATTTAAGGAGGACTTTCTTAAAAATGTTATTTAATTTTCAAACAAGTAAATTTTAAATTGCTTCAGAATCTGATAACTATTTTAAAAATAGGGGAGCAAAGTGGTGAAAAAACATGACGTAGCTAGATATTAAAGTTTCCCACAAGAGCACGTGTCAATTAGACACTCAATTTGTCAACTAATGGTATCTCAACGAGTTTTCATCGAAACCTGATCATTTTGATGTCAAGGGGTAGCTCCTTTAGATATTTCCATTGGGATCACAAAGTCTAATTTTAAGCACGGATAGTTTTTTTTTAATTTGAAATCTTTGAACTAGGTCTTACAATAATTTAATTATTGAATTTTGAAAACTAAAAGCTCAAGTGTTTTAAATGTAAACGGAAAGATGTCATTTATATGTATAATAAAAATGAAACATTCAGATATCAAGTTAAATGTATATTGTATCGATGCAAGATTATTTATTAATAAAGAAAAAAATAAGAACGCAAAAAGTTGCAAGTAACTTATTTACAGCCCATATATTTCCAATTAAATAATTCAATTTTTGAATAGAACAGAAATCATAATTCATTATTTTTTTAGGTATTTATAGAAAAAAATAAAATATTCCTACTTTCGTTTTTGTACACTTTGTCAACTACATAGCTACGAATGTAAATACTGTTAAAGTTTTTAAAATTTTCTCTTAACGTACCGTAACATTTTTAACACGTTCCTTAAACTAATCAACGTTTAATCCTTTGTCAAACATCGTGTTTATTTAAAAAATTCTTATTTTCGACAGAAAGTTTGATATGCATGTTTGTTGAGGCTAGCCAAGAAAATAAAGGTAAAAATGAAGCTTGACAAATTCTTACAAGAATTAAAAAAATGTATATACAATGTGCACAATACAAATCGTAAAAATGTATTTTTCAAAACATTGACAGTATTTAATTATTCACTATTAACAACAATGTAAAGAAAAATTCTGAAATTGTAACATACCTTGATAACCAGCACATACAGCAGTGCTTGTCGACCATTCTCGGTATGTATATATGTATATACCTGCATTGTACTACACTCTAGCGTCGTCGTGAAATATCACAATGTGGCACTGCCCCGCGGAGCTATCGTTGGCTCAGTCGGCAAGACGTTCGCTTCCCGCGCGCATAGTCCGAGTTCGAATCCCTCCAGGCTCATATCTTATAAATAAAATTATTTTATTTGGTCATTTATATCGATATTAACAATAATCACAACGAAAACAAGAACTATAATAACAATCAATGCACGCTCCTTAGATCCATCTCTGTTATTCCTAGGAGATGCTTGAGTCATATGTGTGCTAGAATATGCAAGACCTTCTCTTCAATCTTAAATTCTCTGACTCTTGACTTTTTAGATAAGAGATACGGTTGAAGAGAGGACAAACAATTTTTGAAATTATTTTTAACCTGTTTTGTATTTTTAAAATGTTTTAAAGAAAAACGTTGCATTAGAAATAATTCAATCAAAGTAATAAATTTCTACTTCATGCTATGAATGATATTACTCGACATATTTGAACATGAGTTGAACATTATTTATTGTTATCAGATTACCTTATCTTATTTATAAAAATCTCACATGCGAATAGTCTGAAAACAAAAAAAATTAATTTCCAGACGAGTTTTCGTGTAAAAAAATGTGCAATGATTTTCGGAGGTATAAGAAATTTATAAAACACTGGTTTTTTTTTTACTAATGGGTACTTATGCGATTTAATTTTGAATAGATAATTAAATTCCACACTAGTTTTTACGTTGAAAATTATTTATACACCTCAAACTATAGCTTTATGCGAGTGATCGTACGAATTACTCTGACAAAAATGTAAAGAAACTCTAAATAAACTTTTTATCAATTCATTTAAAGTATTTTTGGTTTTCATTTTGGTTATTAATTTATTTTAATATCCCTGTCGTTTGACAAAAAGCTTTCTAATACTAACTCCAAAAATTGAAGTACCCACTTAGTATTCTTTTAATAAAATTGACTTTGCATCATCAAATTTTTTTTACAAAGTTAATTGATTACTCGTCAAAAAAACGTATCAACTCCCCGTAATTTTTGCTCCTTTAGTATGCTATTAATGGATCAATCTTTATGGATCGATTTACCACTTGGTAATTCATAAGTATTGAACAGTAGCGAGACTGTAAAGGATAACTTTGTACAAAAAGAAATACCACTCTACTTCCTGCCCTGCAATATGGGAAAATCCTATAATACTTTTCCCTCTCATTTAAGAAAATTAAGGAAGGGATGAAGGATAATTAAGATCCCAGAGCTCTTCGGCACAGTTCACAGCTTCAAGCCCGAGGGAGCACTGTTCAGAATTCTGTGGAGAAAAAAACGCAAAGTTTTTCAAAAATTAAAAAAGAAAAGACAGAGATGATGGACAGATGAACGGACGATGAAAAAGAAGAAAAAACAGCCGTGTACTTGCACCCAGTAGGGAAGGGGGGGGGGGTCTTCTTCTTTTTTTTCCTACCGGCAATCGTCGTCGTCGACGATGTCAGAGCGAAACCAAGTGAAAAACGATGTCCTCGATATTTTTTAATCGCCCTCGGGCTGAAACGATGGCTCGCACGTGCGTATACGTCGTGCTTGTCCGTGCACTTTAGACAGTTGGGCAGAAGTGAGAAAGATATAGAGAAAGAGACAAGCAGATTACCCCTTCCTACATACATGTATATAAAGCCCTTCTTCCAGCTCTTTTGTCTTCCTGCTGATTTCCGTAAAAGAGACACTCTGATACAAAAGTAAGCGATCGCTAAGAGAAAAAACAGTCACTCGAATTGAAGACACACAAGTCCCTACAGCATGGCTTAAAGTCATTGCGGTTGTAGTCCACTCCAAGACACCCCCCGAGCTTCCGAATCATTTCGGATTCCATTAGCGCCCTCCGCCCCACCTCCCACCAAGATGCATATTCTCTCTGGAGCACAATGTAATATTCGAGAGAACAACGGCCATTCTCTCGAACGTTACAACAATAACAGCGGTGACAGCAGCTTCCTACAGCCCGAGAGAGAGAGAGAGAGAGAGAGAGAACAGCAACACTGGAGATCTTCCTTGCTCTTGAACAAACGCGAAAACTTATTGTCAGGCGGTGCACAACGAGTACAAGCAAGTGCGTCCAAGACCAACGAATCCAAACTGTTTGGCACGGGGAGGTGCTCTTAGCTCTCGTTCGTGCACACCTGCAGTGCTCCTCCTTTATTTACAGAGTCAGCGCGTCACAGTCCCGTGTGTGTGTGTGTGTGTGTGTGTGTGTGTTGTGTGTGCATGTAAACACACAGGAAGGCCCGACCCCGCGTTTTCGGCTGCTCATTAGCCAGCGCTTCGACCTTTTCTATGTACTTAAGCAAATTGTGCTCGAGCATCCAAATACCGGAGGGGTAAGAGAGAGAGAAGGGGTGGGTATATGTATACGGAGGGAAACACTTAGTCGTGATTTGCGAGCTCGGGGACTCGATGAATTCTCCAGACCTGCGCTGGTTTGTTTGATTGTTTTGCGAATTAAAAGAGCCTCGTGGGCGTGCACGTGACGCGCTACGTAAATACGAGAGAATCATACTTTTTCTCCGAGGGTCTCTCGATGAAGGCTGCGAGAGATTTCTTTTGATTTGCGTATGGTAATACTGCGGTGCTTCAGCTCGGGCGTATTTTAAGAGAAAATTTTACTATACATCTTTTCTCTCTACTTTGCTTGGGGATACACCTTTTGACTCGGGAAGCCGGCGGATGATAATTACCTGAGGATCTCAGCGGATGAAAAGGGTTCAGAGGGGAAAAAAGATCGGGAAGGACAGAGTAAGGTATTCGAAAAACTGGATCTATCGTTACTTAAATGAGTTTGTTGGCTTGGATTAACTATTATTTAAGTAAAAAATGTTCAAACAATGATAACTGTTCATCATTACATTACATGATTGATGTAAGTGCGGATCGCCGGGGTCGCTCCATCAGTACAATGAGAAACTATTTTTTATTTTTTAACTAATTAATAAAAGTAGAGTTTCTCATGCATTGATTTTAACTTTTTACTCATAATTTTTAATCTAAAATTAAATTGCGGACCA